ATGTCGAATTCCTGTGTTTTTATGTTTAGAAACACGCCCCGCTGGCACTTGCCCTGACTAATTAATCCAGTCGAAACTGTCTCCAGCTGTTTCATTGTCTCCCATGCATAATATACACCCATTTGACTTCTGCATGGAGATGCCAGCAATATGTACATAAATATATTTACTATGGCACACCGCACATATTCCTTCAGTTCATCATCATTAGTAACCACTGTATTCGCGCGCCCCATATTCCAACTGTTCTCATTCATAAAATATAATGCTCCTGTCATGAGTTTGCACATAAGTGTGTCTCCCACGTTAGCTACGACCGGGTTGTTTCCCTTGGGCGGATATGTGTAACCCCTGTTTGAACAATTAGCTGCATATAGCTCCACAATAGGATCGTCCAAATGTTTCATAAACTTCTTCAGTTGGTCCTCTATATCCTGCCATAAACTTCTCTGCATTGTGCATAAGGTACATATATGTGTGTGCATAATTGGCCACAGTAGCGGTCTCTGCCATATTCATATGTGCCCATTCCCTTGTACGTGCTGCACGTACTGTACCGTGCCATTGTATTATTAATATAGAATTAGTGCACGATCGGATGCGTACAATTATATATACAGGCATGTATACATACAATCATATATAGAGGCGGTTATAATTACACCGCCGTGGCAGGTCTTAATCTTAATAAATTACCGTATACTTCTCCGGTGTATTCACTAGTCCCCTATCCTTCACATACTGTACCAATATATTCGCTAACGCTGCCGCCATTGTCATGCATGATTATAACGTGGAAATCTGAATTACCCTTGAATCACTATAACGTGATACATATCCTGCAACAGTGCATCGCGCAGAAGTTGGTGTTTACGCTATAAATGCCTCCGTACCCCTGACGCATTAGCATCGGCCTAAATATAACTGTACGATCCACATGAAAAGAATGGGTATGTATGCGTTTATATAACCTATCCACACATATACAGTCCTGATACTTACACTAGGAATTGGGAGCATGGCAAGCGAAAATAATGAATAACAAGGAAAGTAAGAAGATAAATAAGAAAGAAATAAAACAAAGTAAAAAAAAAAAAAAAAAAGAAAAGACAAACAAAAAAAGGAGAGCAAACAAACAACATACGCTATAAATTCATAACAACCACGTCGTCTACACAATTGAGAGCAGGGTCTCTTCTCTCTCGTGCACACATGAACAATGTCGCCAAGTAGAGTAGAAACAGAAAAAAAAAAAACAAGGACTAAAAAGAAGAAAAAAAAAAAGTACTACTACACTACCGTACGCACGCAACGCGTCATGAATACCGCCCTTTGTACACCGATCTGCACTAAACGCCTGTCACACACACTGTGCTTGTGTGCGTACAACTAAAAACCGCAGTGTAACAACAACATCAATGCGTCTGCCGTCGTTGCCGTCCTTGCGGACCTTATGGCTCGCACAAAATATGTGTAGTCCTTCGTCCCCGTCCCCCGCTCTCTGGATCCCTCACTCGGACAATCGCCTTTACGCGGCCACGTGTGCTCGCACACAATAGCCGTGCTTACTCGGCCGCTTTGGTCGACGCGTTTGCTCGGAGAGACAATCTCTCCTGCTTCTTACACTGGGACAATGCTGCGTCGAATCGTTAACTCGGCTATTGCGTCGAATCGTTCTGACACTCGGCCGCGTGGGCTCGGAGAGACAATCTGTCCGCCGTACTTACACGCGGACCAGCCTTCGTCGAATCGTGGTTACACTTAGCCGCGTTGCTCGACGCGTTTGCGCGGACAGACAATCTCTCCTTATACTCGAATGCATATGCGCATTCTATATTAGTTCTACTCTACACCATTAGAATGCACTTGCTCAGCTTTTAATAATGAACTTCACATAAAGGAGAATACTACCCCGTCATATTATTCATTTAAAGCTACATTTTATATGCATGTAACCGGTACCACCGTGTCCCCATTGTTGTATTAATAGAAGTGGACTACACAGAAAAAGAACAAAACAAAGCAAAAGTAAAAAGAAAGCAACAGAAGTAAGCAGAACAGAGCAAAACAGAGCAGAACAGAGGAGAACAAAAAAAGAAGGTATGTAATAGTGCAAACAAGAAATATATTATGTATATCACATAATGAAGTAAAAGTGGTGTACGGTCAGCATGCGTTATGTCCCATGCATATGCGCCGTCATGCGAATGTCAGAGCGTGTCCAATAGAGCATCCACATATAACTCCCTATCCTGCATACTACTCTCGATTTCACATTGTTCGATTACGGACGCGAGAAGGAGCATCCATGTGTGAGCGGTTAACGGTTGTTTCATGTAAGGTTGCGGATGCAGTTGCGACCGCGGTACATCTCTCAGGCGTAGCCTCTGGTGTGCTGCCATGACTTTTTCCACTTCTAAGTCTTTCTCCGCTATAGGTACGTCGCCTTTGTCCGGCACTGTCTCCTCCTCTACACTGCTCAACAAATGTTTAAACCACTCCTCTTCACTGTATGTATCCGTCCGTTTATGCTTTCTTGCAATCCATTCTTTCCATGCATCCAATTGCGTGCTTTCCATGGTTGCGGCTGTCCTGTGCTCACTGGATGCTTCGTCTGCCACCATGTGTGCACGCAGGTATTGTTTCCAATCCGCTTTTAATTGCAAAAACCAGGGTTCGCCGCTACACGCCCGCAACATATATTTGTGGCGATCAATCCAGTTAATCCATTGGGTGCACGCCGACGTCTTGTCACCGTGGTCGGAAGGGCGATTTTGTTCATGGTGTAACTGTATGTTTTCCATACAACTCCAAGGATCGGGGTCGTGTTCATTCGGTGGGCAAGGGTGCGTTTGTAATTGTATAGTTTCCATACAACTCCATGAATCGGGGTCATGTGGTGGACAAGGGTCCGTCTGTGCGAAGTCAGTGTAGGAAACATTGATCCCTGGAAGATCTTGGTCTGAGGTGGACACATCTAAGATACTGTTATGCGTGTCCTGGTGCAAGTCACGCGCACACTCCTGCGCAAACGCCTTAACGAGTATCTGCAAATAGTCGTCTTTGACGTTTTCCCATACGGCCGCTTCACATTCGTTGAGCACTTCTAGATGTAGGTCGATGATGGTGCGTTTATGCACGCGTGGCGGGCGTTGTCCGCGTCGTACGGCAGCAGACGCAGGTTGCGTAACCATCGTGTACCCGTAATCGGGTGGTGGCGGCGCTCCTCGTTGTAGATGCGCCAATATGTCTTCGTCGAGTGGCGGTGACGGCACGTTACGAACGGTGCGATATGTTCGTCGTCGTTTAGCGAGGTACGCAAAGTACTACAAATAAAAGGAACGAGGACCATGAGGAAAATGCATTTGTTGGCATCATCATGTAAGGAAGCTCCGTAGAAACACACTCTTATGGTACATATTACGGATGAACATATACGGCGTCGCGTATTTACTTACCTTCCAAAGGGAATAACCAAGGAGGGCGACGGTGACGGCGGACAGGAAGAAGAGTACGGGAGTAGTGGCGGTAAGGACGGTGTCGGTTAGGTCCGGAACAGCGTAGTCCCCGGGCCCCCCGGAATTATCGGAGGCCTGAACTTCTAGGCTCGGTCTATGGCCTGTTCCATAATGTCCCCCTAAACCAGTACCGAGCGTTGGCATATCTAATGTGAACCCAAGGCCTCCACCTGCATGTATAATGCTGGAAGTGTTGTGCTTATCCTTATGGGAAGTAGAGGAGGAAGCCTGGGAACCTGGAGCAGTATCAGGTTCTGCGCCATCAGGGGGGGTGACACCACTAACAGAATCCCAGAAGTCACCGAAGGAATACAGTGCTGCAGTATCGGAGGGTTTAGTTGTAACCTTGTCATCTGTCTGCTGATCAGGACCATGTCCTCCTTCATTTGCATTAGTGTCCTTAGTGGCTGCAGGGGTAGTGTCCTGTGCATCAGGAGTTTCTGTCGCCTTCGGTATTTCTGTGGGTGTTGCGGGTTGATGTCCTGTATCGGACCCTGATGAGGTTACGCTGACTTCTGGTCCCTGTTCGGGTTCTGCTGGTACCTGGGTGTCCTGGGTACCTGTATTTGCTGTAGAGTCTTTACCTATAAGTTGGAACAAGCAGGAGAATGTGGATAAAACTGAATGTTTGAAGTGGATGGTTGGCGACACGATTCTCGTCGGTCCATGCGCTCATGGTTGGGGGGCCGCCGATCGGTTGACGAGACAGGGACGAGCATCGAGGCAGGGACGCGGATGAAAGGAGAGACGGGGGCAGGGTGGCACCCCGGGAAAAGACTCTGTCTCTCTCCAACTACACAACACAACACACACACAGTGTGTGCGTGTCTGTGTACGTCGACGTCTACCTCTACCGGCCGCTACCTCCCGCAGCGGCTTAGTCGCCGTCGCTCTGCCGCTCCTCATTCTCATTCGACATTTTGTTTCTGTCGCTTCGTTCTTTCTGTCCCTCTCTTTCCGGAAATTGTTGTGCGTTTTTTTTGTTTTTTTTTTCCGTCTCGCCCAATAGTGTACTCAGGGTACCGACAATAGCATATGGACCCCGTGGTGCACTTTTCTGTCGAGTTGGGTACTACCCGCCGGAGTCTCTGGACTATTACTACCTGAGCAATCCTTGGGGTCCGAAGAAGGGTCGAACGTGACAGACACACTTAAGATACCTTCCCCTACATCTCTCGTGTGGGATGCGCCTGCTGCAGGGCATGTTGGTTGCGACTTATCGTTACCTGCTCTCTCTGATCCGTCTGCTGGTGGTGGTGTTTCCACAACGTCCTCTGATCTTCCTACTGATACTGCTGGCCCAGGTGTGGAGGGTGTTGCAGTTTTCCCTGTTTCTGGTGTTGTTTCTTTTGGTGTCTGTTCTTCCGTTTGTCCTAACAATGACGGTAATATAGGAGCATATGTGTGTGTAACACGTGCCGCATGAATGGGGAGATGCAGGGGGCGCGCTCGGTGGACTGCGTACTCGGTGAACGTGGACTAGATGGTAGCCGTGCAACTTTTATCTGTCGCCGTCATCTCGTCGCCGCTCCATCCGTCGCGCTCCGCAACCGCTAGCACTGTGACGCCGCTACCGCTCCCGTCGTGGCCGCACATCTCGGCTCAACGAGGGAGATGAGCCGTGCTGTTCTGCTGTTCCGCCGTGTGCGCATTGTGGCCGTTGCGGTGTTGTGGTGGCATCCATACGGTCCCTAGAGGGCCGTAGTCGGTATCGGCCGTATGCTTCGTATTCGGCCGTGTGTTTACCTGTCAGTTTTTCAATTTCCCGTTCTACTGCTTCCTTCGCCTGCTCAAACACCTTTTCCGCTTTTTCTACTATCTCTTTGTCCAGTTTGTTCTTTTTGTCAATTCCTGGTGTGGTCAAAATCTTCTCGATAGGATCCCCTGCCTGTGCCCCATCATTAATATACTTTTGCCAATACTGGTTACAGGGCATTTGCGCCTCCAGTTGCTGTATTTCTGACAATATTTTTCCTTCTCTCATTAACCATTGTGCTATTTCCAAATTTACTGCTTGCGCATGGTGCTTATAGCCCTTATACCCACACATGGTACACTTACCGTGCACAACGGGACCCGTTAGGCCGCTCTGTTGTCCCGCTGTCTTTTCCCCCATTTTTTGCATTGCTTTATATGCATACTCGACACCTCTATACCATTTTTGCTGGCCCTTACAATACATGTTCCTCAATAAGTGCCCAAACGCGTGGGCCACCTCGCACCTGAGCGCCGCCTCTTTCTCATCCATATGTCCACCTGTGTGTTGTGTGTTATCACCATTTGCAAACCACAGTGCACCTGACATGAGTCGGCACCGCATCATATCCGCCACTGTCTGTGCCTTATGGTATTGACCAGACGTCATATCTTCCCAACCTATGTTATCACAGTTAGCACCGTAGCCGTCAAAGTCCTGATTATTTGCCTGCAAATATTTAATAAAATCATCCAACACCTTCTTCACCGGTTTCCATTGATCAGCCTATATTTTTTACATAAACATAAAGATACACTCATATGCACATTTCTCTTGGACTCTTCCTATCGCATGTAACCATACCCTCATATAACTATACACATCATGAATAAATTCCTCTTCCATCATTTATCTTCCCTGTTGCCTTTGTTCCTTTTCCATTCTTTGTTTACGTTTGCTTACAGTATACTGATGCGCCACGTACACTTCCTTATGCTTCCACTCCCACACTTTCTCCCCTTGACACTTGTCTCCTGGTTGTGTCGTCGTCGTTACCGGGCCCGGCTTCGCCGCTACTGGTTTGGCAGGAGGTACTGGTTTGGCAGGGCTGCCGTTGTCAACAGGTGCAGGTTTGGCCGGGGCGGGTTTCGCGGCGGCAGGGTTCACTGTGTCCTTCACTTTCTTGATCTGGTGCTTTATGTTCTTCTCTATTGCACATTTACCCCCGGGCAAGCGTCCTTTCTTCATTTCCTCTAACAACGTTGTCACCCGCAGATAGAGAGCACCTGCTGTCCAGTAGTTTATCTTGCCCATGAGCCAATCATCCTGCAGCACGTCCCCCGGCTCTGCATTACATGCTTCCTCACTATTCTGGTTTGTGTCTTGCTGTGGCCAAGCACACTTCTTCCCTGTGACGCGTGCACTTCCTGCGTGGCCTCCTGCCAAACCGCTCTTCCATTCGTCCAGCTTAGTCTTTATGCTTGGTCCAATACCACGTAATCCGAAGATGACTTCCCCATAATGCTGGCCCTCACACACCCCTGGCTCATATTGCTGTGTCCCTGTTGTAGTCGTTTTCTCCATTTCTTCCTTAACTTTCTTTATTACTTCCTGGTGGTCACTAGTTTGCCCATACACCTGTACTAAAACCTCACTCGCCAATATACATCTTAAGTATTCCTTAAACTTCTCTCCGGTTGTTTGCTGCATTCCTCTTTTTTTCCAATCGCGTGTTCTGGTCTGATAACTATATCCCTTTATGTATAGCATAAGGCTTGCAATTTCATGACACCTGCTCTTGCACATGGACTGCCCCGATGCCGTATATATACTTGCACAAATGCCAGCGTTCTCGCGCCTACGTTGGCTGATCGTTTTTGTTACGTCCGTGAAGATAGTAGCAACATCCTGCATTAATTGTTTCTGCGAGTAGAAGAATCCATGTATGCGTGTGTATATGCGGTATTCCGGTCTGCCCTTAAATTCGTCTACATTTAACCACACGTCGTTTCAGATGCATGCACTGTGCGTGCACTCTATCTGTGCGCAGCATACCTCCCGTACTTTACGACATTTATATAAATAGTCTATGCTCACACATACAGGTTCCAATTGCCCATGTATATATATTGCTCTCCAAACTGCACTATTGCTCTGCGTGCGGCATTTTGTGTACAATGGAACTTACCCAATATGTGTTCCCATCCGTTATTCCGTTGCTCTGTAGATAAGACTCCCATGAACATAGGAAATGCAGTATGTGCGTGTCAAAAAGCGTAGCCATATTGAACACTTTTTATTCCCCTTCTTAAAAAAAAAAGTAAGACTACTACTAGTACATACCGCTCAATAAAGCACAACAACAACAAAAAATATACACACACCCCGTTCTCCGTCACCCCGTCTCCGGGTCACCGCCTCTTCCGTCAACGCCTCTCCCGTCAACCCCTCTTGCGTCAACGGCTCTCCGTCACACCGTCTCCGTCAACGCCTCTTCCGTCAACGCCTCTGCGGTCACCCCGTCTCCGTGTACGATTCTCCGTCAACCAAGTCTCCGTCCACGCCTCTCCCGTGCACGCCTCTCCTTCAACGCCGTCTCCGTCACCCCTTCTTCGTCAACATTTTGCCGTCAACGCCTTCTCCGTCAACGCTTCTCCGTCAACGCCTCTCCGTCAACGCTTTCTCCGTCACACCACTGCTCCGTCAACGCCGCTTCCGTCAACGCCTCTCCGTGAACGCCTCTCCGTCACCGCGTTCTCCGTCAACCCCTCTTGCGTCAACGGCTCTCCGTCACACCGTCTGCGTCAACGCCTCTCCCGTCAACGCTTCTCCATCAACGCCTTCTCCGTCAACGCTTCTACCGTCAACGCTGCTGTCCGTCACCCCGTTGTCCGTCAACGCTTCTCCGTCACACCGTCTCCGTCACC